AGGAACCAATGGGGGGAGGTTTGCCTATCCAGAAGGCAATCAGTTCAGGGTTCTAGTCAGCAGGAGTGCTGAGTTCTGTGAGCAGAGTGGGTGGAAATGCATACATGGGAATCCTGATGTTCTTTCAGAGAGGCTGCTTGCCTCTGCTGATGAGGGAGAGCTAGAAACTGATCCTGCTGCTGAGGCGCAGAGTCCAGACCCAGAGCAGGAACAGCCAAGGGCATCTCCTAAAGTTGTCAAGTTAGAGGAAAAGAGTGCACCTTCCTCACCCACAAGTCCAGTTGAGAAGGTCAGGAGGCACAGAAAGTGAGAGGGGGAGTTCTCTGAAGCCAAGGGCACTCTAGCTGGCCCTAGTGGGTTAGAGGGGGTACCTGAAGTTGTGCTGAGGTGTTCAACTTGTGCCACTAAGGGTAAACCACCCTACAGGTTTGAGGTTGGTGTAGCTCACTGTGAACCTGAGAGTTATGAGGAAGTTCAGAAATTGCCTGAAGCAGAACCCAGGAAATGGCAAGAGGCAATGCGGAAGGAGATGAACTCAATGGAGTCTCTAGGTGAATTCTCCATCACGACACTGCCAGCAGGTAAACAGGCTGTGAGCAGCTGTTGGGTTACCATTTTAAACCCACAGCAACTGGAGAACTACAGTACAAGGCTAGGCTGGTAGCCAGAGGCTGCATTACACCGAGGTGTATGCTCCTACTTCCCGGAGTGAAACTGCGCATGCTCTTAGCCATTGCTGCACAGAGAGGTCATCAAGTGCATCACTTTGATGTGGATGTAGCCTACTTGAACTCAGACCTCAAGGAGGATCTGTACATGCTTCCTCCTCCAGGGTTTGAGGCCAATAGGCCAGATGCAATGTGGAAACTTCACAAGTCCATTTACGGACTGAAACAGGTGGCCAAGAACTGCAACTTGTGTCTGAATGAAGCCTTAGAGAGTTTAGGTTTCAAGAGGAGTCTTGCTGACAGCTGCCTGTACCTGAAAGGGTCAGGAGAGTCACAAGAACTGGTCCTGAACTTTGTGGATGATATAGTTTATGTGGCAAGGACAGAGAAGCAGGTTCAAGGCTTTGCCACAAGGCTTGGAAAAGGGTTGCAACTCAAGAACCTAGGTTCAGTGAAAGTTTACCTAGGAGTCCAGATAGAGAGGTCTGAAGACGGAAGCTTCTTGCTCAGTCAAAAAGGCAAGATTGAGCAGTTGCTTGAGAAGTTCAGAATGTCTGAATGTGCAGGGGTCAGAACACCCATGGAGACAAGCTACGTGGAAAACAGTCAGCAAGTAGAATGCGCTGAGTTCAAAAATGCTGAGATCTTTCAGTCAGCTCTGGGTAGTCTGTTGTATCTGTCCCAGTGGAGCAGACCTGACACAGCTTTTGCTACGAATCTGCTCAGCATGGAAGCTAAAAACCCAAGTGTGCAGGCCTGCAATGGTATCAAGAGGGTGCTGCGTTACCTACAGGATACCAAGGATTTCTGTCTCAAGCTGTCAGCTAAGGGTGACGCCAAGCTGATGTGCTGGACAGATAGCGATTGGGCAAATCTGGACGACAGGAAGTCCATGACTGGGATGGTAATAAAGTTTGGGGACTCTTTAGTTGGGTGGAAGTCCCGGAACCAAAGTCTCATTGTGCTTTCCTCTACTGAAGCTGTATTCAGCGCACTGTCTGAGCTTTGCCGGGAAGTGGAATTCTATGTCTGTTTGGTTCAAGAACTCTGCGGGGATTGTTGTTTGCCAGTCACTGTGTGAGAGGACAATCTACCCTGCTTGAAGTTGGCAGAGACTGGGCAGTTTAAGGCCAGAACCATACACCTAGACATCCGTTTTATCTAGTTAGGCTTGGTGCAGCTGCAGTACAGTCTAAGCCAGAAGAATTTGGCAGTTGAGTTTACTAAACCTTTGAATTTCCAGAGGCACAGTGAATTCATAGTCCCACTTTATTCTGGCTTGGTCGGATAACACCTGGAATACTGTGTACAGTTCTGGGCACCATGCGCTGCCAAATACAGCAGTTCTTTCCAAGGATATCAGGACAAAAGGAATGAGGAGGTAGAAGGGGAACCAAAACAGGGGCTACCCAATCTCCCCTTCAGCTGCCCGGAGCCCCAGGTAGAGCAGCAGGAGAAAGACCCCCGACCGTCGGTCTCCCAGCATCAGGTCCTTTGATCTGGGCAGAAGCTCACCGGGCCCCTCCCACCTATGGCTTTTATAGCCTGCCTTGATGTAATCAAGTGCACTTGACATTACTCATGATTAATGCAGAGCAGCTGAGAGTCTCCCACTACCTGCAGCCGGCATCCAGCCAGCACTTGCAACACAGAAGAACCCAATAAACTCCCGACAGGTGTGTGAAACACAAGAATCCAGCAGACCTCAAACTGGGGATGTTAAAGGGAAAGGGACATGCCACCTAACTCCTCGAAATACAATTGTCTTCCGCATTTCCACTACATACCACAATTTAAGAAGGATGTTGACAAGCTGGATCGTGTTCACCAGAGAATGACCAGGATGATCAGGGGCCTGGAAATGGTTATGAAGAACAGTTAAGGCAGTGATGGCCAAACTCAGCCCTCCAGATGTTTTGGGACTACAACTCCCATCGCCCCTAGCTAACAGGACCAGTGGTCAGGGATGATGGGAATTGTAGTCCCAAAACAGCTGGAGAGCCAAGTTTGGCCATCACTGCGTTAAGGGAACTGGGCATGTTTAGCCTGGAGAAGAGGAGAGCCATAGGAGAAATCTGAAGGGCTGTCACAAGGAAGATGGAGCAAGCTTGTTTTCTCCTGTTCTGGAGGGCAGGACTCGGATTCAAATTGCAAGAAAGAAAATTCTGAATAAACATCAGGAAGAACTTTCTGACAGTAAGAGCTGCTCAGCAGTGGAACTGTCTCCCTCTGGAGGTGGTGGGCTCTCCTCCTTCCTTGGAGGTTTTTAAACAGAGGTTGGGTGACCATCTGTCATGGGTGCTCTAGTTGAGATTCCTGCATTGCGGGGGGTTGGACTAGATGACCCCTGGGGTCCCTTCCAACTACAATTTTATGATTCTATGTTTCTATACTTGGTGGGTAGGGCTGCTTGTTTCTATGCATCTTCTCCATGATTACTTAGGGTTTTCCCATTATTTCTGTGCATCCACTCGTAGTAGCAGGACTATGTTTATAGTCAAATTAAAAACATAAGAAGAGTGCTGGATTAGGCCAATGGCCCATCTAGTCTAAGGTTACCAGACATCCCCGTTTCCCGGGGACAGTCCCCGAATATACAAATCAGTCCCCATACAAAATCCATTGAAGTTGAAAAGTGTCCCTGGATTCATTGAAAAAAATCTGGTAGCCTTAATCTACCACAGCATCCTTTTCTCAGAGGGGCCAACCAGATGTCCCAGTTGGAAGCCTGTGAGCAGGATCCGAGCACAAGAGCCCTCTCCCCTCCTGTCGTTTCTACCAGCTGGGATTCAGAAACATTAATGCCCCTGGCCGTTGAGCCTGAGCACAGCCATCCTGGCTGCTAACCCTCTCCTCCGCGAATCTGTCTCATCCCCTTTTAAAGCCAACTAAGTTGGTGACCTTCACGGCCTCCGGTGTTATACCATTGGGGGAGTGGTGCAGGAAAAACAACTTACTCCTTAACGTAAAGAAATAATAGATTATTGTGGACTTTAGGAAATGTCAATTGAATATTCAGCCACTCCTTATTGAGGGGAAGTGTGTGGAACAGGTCTCGGTGTTTCGATTTCTGGGAATGGAGTTGAGAGATGATCTAACCTGGGGAGAAAACAGCGAAGACCTGATGAAGAGAGCACAGCAGAGGTTGTATTTTCTGAGAATCCTCTGGAAAAACAATCTCTCAAAGGACCTGCCATTTTACCTGCCATTTTACCATTGTACTGTTGAGAGTGTATTAACTTATGGTCTGTGTGTGCGGTTTGGGAGCTGCACGGTCAGGCAAAAAACAATGCTGACCAGGGTTGTGAAGACTGCGGAGAGAATAACTGGGTGCACTCTTCCCACCTTGGATCAAATCTATACTTCCAGGTGTCATAAGAAAGCTGCAGGGATAGTGCAGGAAAGTGCACACCCTGGAAATGATCTCTTTCAGCTTCTGCATTCTGGAAAAAGGTCCAGGGTTATAAAGACTTGGACTAGACGCCTGAGAAACAATTTCTATCCAAATGCGATTTTGGTTTTAAACACAGTGTAAGGTAGTCTCTATGGGAGTATATTGCATTTAAAAATGGGGCATCAGAGTTTTTAGGGGGCTAACCAGGTTGGGATAGTTGGGATAGCAGGCTTGTTGGTTTTTGAATGTCTTATGTAGATTTTTTCAATTTCGTTGTTCTGTATGGGACAATGACAATAAAGATTATTGCACTGTATTGTATCATAATATAAGCCTCACTTCCCCCCCAAATTCTGAACATGAAAAGTTAAAGTGCGGCTTATATTCACGACCTTACTGTATGAAGCCAGGAGCACGGGGTAAACAGCACCAGGAGCGTGGCAAAACGGCACCCACCCTGTGCATAGGCCGCCGTCTGGAAAGGGAGAGAGCGAGGAAGGGGAAAGGCCGCCAGCAACGCAGCCCAGCTCCCCCGCACCCAGTATGCAGCCAGGAACAGCGAGGAAGAGAGCGACTAATATTCAGGTATATTTTTTTTCTCCCCACCCCCTCCAATTTTAAAGGTGCAGCTTATATTCGGGTGCGGCTTATATTCGGGCCAATACGTATGTGTTTTGTTTGTGGTGGTGTAATTTCTCTCCACCCCAAAAATGTTACAAGTCCTCTGGTATCCCCATGGACGTTTTGAAGGAGACAGAGGCAGATGTGCAGGAGGATCTCTTTATTGATGTCTCGATACAGAGAAGAGCAAGTCTGGCTCATGAGCGATCTCAAAAGCTGCGACGGCTGGGCAGGCAGGTGAACATGGGCAACGCGGAAGACAAGGACCTACAACTTGGTCCCGTTCTCCAAAGCGCTGAAATTGCCGAAGCCCATTCCTACAGCGGGATTTTGCAGATGTAGTAATTCTCAGCATTGCAATAATTATCATTCCAGTTCATCAAGTCTAGAAAGATGAGGAAGAAGAAACATCAGTTGGAGGAAGCAGTGTTTCTGAACAACAGCTGCTGGAAGCCAGAGGAAGAGAGAGGACTCAGAGTCCTATTTGTGGTTTGAAATTACAATTGCTCTAGGAAACATTTTTTTAAAGGGAGCCTAGTATTACTCATGCTAGCCAGTTTCATCCAGTATAGGGCTAGAGCTACATGCACACTGGTTTGTAAGGAGAAGGGCCTTCTCGGTGGTGGCGCCCGCCCTGTGGAACACCCTCCCATCAGATGTCAAGGAAATAAACAACTATCTGACATTTAGAAGAATGCAGGCTTCCTCAACCTTGGCCCTCCAGACATTTTGGAATACAATTCCCATCATCCCTGACCACTGGTCCTGCTAGCTAGGGATCATGGGAGTTGTAGGCCAAAAACAACTGGAGGGCTGAGGTTGAGGGAGTCTGTTTTAATGTATTTTTAGTCTTTTGTTGGAAGCTGCCCAGAGTGGCTGGGGAAACCCAGCCAGATGAGCAGGGTATAAATAATAAATTATGATTATGATTATTAGCCCTGTTTCAGCTCTTAAAAAGGGGGCGGGTGTAGCTTTGGAGACAAGCAACAGTGATTTCAGGAAGGAGTTCTGACGGGAGGAGATTCCTATATCCCCAGATCTCTGCACCGTACAATAATTATGGCACTATCTTCTTTTGAAATACCTCAACTGTGGGGGCTACTAAACTCCCCCCCCGCCCCGAACTCTGGAAAACCGTAGTAAAGAGTGGATAGAGAGAGAGGATTTCAATTTAGCTGCGAGTAGGTGTGACTTCCAGGATAGTTTTGGAATTAAAACCCAAGCTCGGGTACTTATAATAGCATTGTTGTTCAATAGGTTTACAGTGGTACCTACGGTTAGGAACTTAATTCGTTCTGGAGGTCCATTCTTATCCTGAAACTGTTCTTAACATGAGGTGCCATTAGCGAAAGCGCACCTCCCGCTGCGTGCAGGCCTCCAGTGCGCGATTTCCGCTCGCACCCTGGGGCAAAGTTTGCATACGGGAGCAAATACTTCCGGGTTAGCGCAGCTCGTAATCCGACGCGTGCGCAACCAGAAGCGTTCATATCTAGAGGTATCTGTGAGGTTTTCTCCTCTTCCCCAAAATCACCACTTTAGGTTTAGAATGATTGACTGTCAACTGCTCTTTTGTGCAAAAGACATTCAACTTCCCCAAAAGTCTCCACATCCCAATTAAGGTAGCAGAAATCAAAACAGTACCGTCGGCATACAAAAGAACTGCGAGTTTGACATCCTCAACAGAAACAGGAAAATATTCTAGACCTCTTAGTTCTTGAACAATATCATTTATATCAAAATTGGGCGGAAAGGGTGCTAGGAGACATCCCTGTCGGACTCCCCTGTCCTTGTGGATTTGACTAGATAGGCCATTGGCATGACCCATTCGCCTCTTCTTATGTACTGAACTTTTCCTCCATAGGGTCGCTGCTTCTATGCTAGTAGCCAAGAACCTTTCACTTATCCTTAAGGAAACTTTAATCTTTGTTTCATACAAACCTCATGGTGTCCCTTCCAGTGGTGTCCAAAGTTTTTTCAAAGAGGGCCAGATTTGATGAAGTGAAGGGCCGTGAGGGCCGACCAAAGGGCCAACCAAAGTTATTGACCTTTTTTTTAAAAGGATTTTACCCCAAAGTTTTTTTAAAAGATTGATGTTGTTGAGTTTTCTTAGGGTTGAAATTCTTGAGCACTTTTTAGGATGGAAGTTGTTGAGGTGTTTTTTAGATTTTACACCAGGAAACAAACCGCCACAGCGGCCAGATTAAACTGACCAGTGGGCTGAATTAGGCCCCCAAAACGGACTTTGGACATGCCTGTGAGTTGTTCTAGAGGAGAGAGAAAACATTTGGGAAACCCTGGTTGCCATATATCTGGGAAACCCAGGACATGTCCTCTTTTGGGGGGACACATACCCATCCGGGCAGATTTTCCCATTTTAAAGGAAATGGTTTTGTTTTGTTTGTTTGTTTCTTGGGGGGCGGGTTAGAGATTTTTGGGGGGGCCACACACATGCTTGGGAGGGCCCTGTGCCCCAGAAGTGGAAGCGCCACAGCAGAGTGAGGCTGTTGCAGCAAAGATCAGGTAGGAGCTGGGGTTCTTCCTCTGCTTGGGTCACCAGCAGCTTGGGCTTGGGCTGCCCTGCACGCCGCTGCCCCTGCCAGCCCAAGCTGGCTGTTTTGGTGAAAGGCAGCCTGGGGGGTGGGGGTGGGCTTGAATACTTTTCACCCAGTGACAGGAGAAAGGGTGAAGATTCCCCACCCCACAGAGGACAATATACTGCTGTCCTGCACTGATGTACAACCCTGTCAAGTGTTGGACGATGGAGGGGTGAGGTGAAGTGAGAATCTCATCCTCAAGTCTGAGCCAATTCCCCACCTCTTACCAAAGGGCCCCATATAATAATAATAATAATAATAATAATAATAATAATAATACAGTGGTACCTTGGTTTAAGAACAGTCCGGTTTAAGAACGATTCTGTTTACAAACTCCGCAAAACAGGAAATAGTGTCTTGGTTTGAGAACTTTACCTCGGTCTGAGAACGGAATCCGAATGGTGGAAGGGCACCGGTGGTGGGAGGCCTCGTTAGGGAAAACACACCTTGGTTTAAGAACGGGTTTGGTTGAAGAATGGACTTCTGGAACGGATTAAGTTCATAAACCGAGGTACCACTGTAATATATTTATATGCCACTCATCTGACTGGGTTGCCCCAGCCATTCTGGGTGGCTTCCAACAAATTAAACCCATTAAGCACAATCTTTACAACCTGTGAAACCCCCCTCCTCACCTACACCAAACATCTCGACACAGTGTTGGTTATTTTTGCAGTTGGAGGGTTGTCCAGGTCCCCAATGCACGTAGCCGAACGCGGCATTATCGGTCCATTTCCACTGTACATTCTGTAAAGGTAAAGGTAAAGGGACCCCTGACCATTAGGTTCAGTCATGGCTGACTCTGGGGTTGTGGCGCTCATCTCACTTTACTGGCCAAGGGAGGCGGCGTACAGCTTCCGGGTCATGTGGCCAGCATGATTAAGCTGCTTCTGGCGAACCAGAGCAGAGCATGGAAACGACGTTTACCTTCCTGCCGGAGCGGTACCTATTTATCTACTTCCACTTTGACATGCTTTTGAACTGCTAGGTTGGCAGGAGCTGGGACCGAGCAATGGGAGCTCACCATGTCACGGGGATTCGAACCGCTGACCTTCTGATTGGCAAGTCCTAGGCTCTGTGGTTTAACCCACAGCACCACAGCAATAAGAGTTGGGGTCTTGACTGAGGAAGGGATGTCCCAACGTGAGGTCAGTCTCCCTTCTGCAGTAAGCGGCTCATGAAAATACAGTGTCTGGTTTTCAGCTGGAGGGATGGGAATAAATCCCAAGGAAGATGAGGCGGTTGGACCTCTCAGACTTGTACTGCTTGGGGGAGATCTAGCCAGGATCAGCTGTTCTCCATCACCCTTCCTACGCCCCTGCCCCCACCCTTCAGCTCTTCTCCCCAGTGTGATTTTACAGCAAGGCTGTCAATGAATTGATTTTCAGCTGGTGGGATCAAATCCCAAGGACTTGTACTGCTTGGGGGGATCTAGCCAGGATCAACTGTTCTCCATCACCCAGCACAAGAAATGCACCTGCTACATCCCTCTACTCTGCAGAAGTGTTAAAGGAAGAAAAGACGGTATGTCCTCCTTTCCAACTGGATAGTCAAATACAGTGGAACCTTGGGTTACATACGCTTCAGGTTACAGACTCCGCTAACCCAGAAATAGTACCTCGGGTTAAGAACTCTGCTTCAGGTTGAGAACAGAAATCGGGCTCCTGCGGGCGGCAGCAGCAGGTGCTTCAGGTTAAGAACGGACCTCCAGTACGAATTAAGTGCTTAACCTGAGGTACCACTGTATTGCTCCAAGGCTAAGGGGCATATCAACTTTGCTGATTTAAAACCTTATTAAAGTAACATTGTGAGAGTTCTAAATGGGACCTGTGTTGCATCCCATTTGTTTGTTTTTGTTTTTGTTTCAAACATTGCAAATTGTGGACAAAATGGACTGTTTCAAGAGGTGGCAGAGAGATATTTCTAGATTTGTCTGGCAGGGCAAGAAGCCCAGAATAAAATTTAAAATACTAACAGATGCAAAGGAACGAGTTGGATTTGCCCTGCCAGACCTTAAACTTTATTATGAATCAGCAGCTTTTTGCTGGTTGAAAGAATGGCTGCTTCTTGAAAACACTGACATTTTGGATCTAGAAGGTTTTAACAATGTATTTGGATGGCATGCATATCTGTGGTATGATAAGGTCAAAGCGCATAAAGCATTTAAAAATCATATTGTTAGGAAAGCTTTGTTTAATGTTTGGATAAGATATAAGGACTTATTGGAAAATAAAACCCCAAGGTGGCTGTCACCGATGGAAGCGAAAGCCCTGAAAAGGCTCAATATGGAGGTCAAATGGCCGAAATATTGGGAAATTTTAGAACAAGATGGAGAGAGATTGAAACTGCAGAGTTTTGAAAAACTAAAAAATAAAGTGCGATACTGGCTTCATTATTATCAGATAATGGAGGCATACAATTTGGACAAGAAAATTGGCTTCCAGGTGGAAAAATCAAAATTAGAAACAGAAGTGTTAGAACCCAAAACTAAGAATTTGTCAAGAATGTATAACTTGCTGCTGAAATGGAATACTCAGGATGAAACGGTGAAATCTGCTATGATTAAATGGGCACAAGATGTTGGACATAATATTATGTTTGCTGACTGGGAACAGTTATGGACCACAGGTATGAAGTTTACGGCATGTAATGCCCTAAGAGAGAATATTATGAAAATGATATACAGGTGGTACATAACCCCAGTCAAGCTTGCAAAAATCTACCATTTGCCCGATAATAAATGTTGGAAATGTAAAGAAACTGAAGGTACATTCTTTCACCTTTGGTGGATGTGCCCAAGGATTAAGGTTTTCTGGGAGATGATTTATAATGATTTAAAAAAGGTATTTAAATATACCTTCTTGAAGAAACCAGAGGCCTTTCTCCTGGGCATAGTCGACCAAACGGTGTTAAAGAAGGACAGAACTTTCTTTATGTATGCTACAGCAGCAGCAAGAATACTTATTGCAAAGCATTGGAAGACACAAGATCTACCCACACTGGAGGAATGGCAGATGAAAATGATGGACTATATGGAATTGGTGGAAATGACTGGCAGAATCCGAGACCAGGGAGAAGAGTCGGTGGAAGAAGATTGGAAGAAATTTAAAGACTACTTACAGAAATATTGTAAAATTAATGAATGTTAGAATGATGACGGATTGAAGTTAAGCAGTTTCTAGTGGTAATGGTATAAAAGAATATGGAAAAATTGGTTTTTAATATCTAAAAATTTAATGTTATAATATATCAGGATTAAAGATCAGGATTAAAAAGGAGGGAAAGGAATCGCTGGACTAATAAATTGAATTGGAATACAAAAGAGGGAGGTATGAGGAGGTCTGGGAAACAAGTAAATGTAAAAGAAGTGATGAAAAGATGGAATTGTTTTTAATTGGTTTTTCTTTTTTGTATTTTGTATTTTGTATTTTTTCTTTTTATTGTTAATTTTCTTTTTAATGTAATCTTTTCCTTTTGAAATTTTAATAAATATCATTTAAAAAAAAAAACCTAAATGGGACCTGTGTTGCATCCTGTGGATGCAGGCAGATGGCTACTCTTTGAATTAAGAGCTTCACCAGAGCCCCAGATCCTCCCTAACAGAGATGGGAAGACTAGACCATTTCATTACAGAGGGGGCAGGTTTAGTTGTTGTCTGAGGACTATTCCTGCCTCTGGGTCTGGTCCTGACCGGACGGATAGTGGAATCAGCAAGGGATACCCACATGACCTGAAGATGCTGCTGTGCAATGCCACGTCAATGATTCATAAGACCACTGCCATCCATGACTTGATGTGATGGCCTGGGATTCCGATTCGGAGGATGAAACAGAGGAATCCCGGCCTGCACAGGAGTCCCCGCCTCCAGGGCCGGCTGAACTGGGGCAAGGCCTTGATGCTGAAGAGCCTGCACCTGTGGCAGTGCATCAGGAGCTGGCCCCAGGTGAAGCCCTTCGGGCCCCAGAGGGGCTTGATGACTCAGTGGCCACAGGTGAGCCTCCTCCAGGGCCCAGTAACCCTTCGGCCTCTCCTGATCTGCAGAGGCTTAGGGCAGAGAGGCGAAGGGAACTGGTTGCCCCCAGGAGGAGTGCTCGCCTTAAGGCCAGAGGAGGCGGGGCTCCTGGGGACCGGGACCGCCCCTGGCCTTAGAAGAGGATACAAGCCCAGTCAGCCCGGCCCCGGGTTGCGGGAGCAACGACGTTGCTGGCTTCGGACCTTCCTGTGTTCCTGATCCCTGCTCGGCTTCCTGTTCCTGACTATCCGGTACTCCTGTTCCCTGCTCGGCCTCCTGTTCCCGACCATCCGGTGTTCCTGTTCCCTGCACAGCCTCCTGTTCCAGCATTCCTGTTCCCCGCCCGGCTCTCTGCCTCGGACCTTGCCCCTCTTCGTGTGGACTCTGCTACACCCAAGGTACCTTACCCCCGGGACCAGCACAGTTTGCCCCGCCAAACCCGCACTCCCCTTCGTAGGGGTGCGTTCGGGAAGAGCCAGAGGCCATGGCTGACCAGGCGGCTGCACTGGTGGCTTTGGCCCAGAAGAACCAGGCCTTGACTCACACCGTGCAGCAGCTCAGTGACGCGGTTGTGGCACTTCAACAACGCTTGGAAGCCCTACCGGCTCCTGGGGCCGACGCCCGGCTCCTGGCAAGTACCCAGTGGCTTTGCCTGAGAAATTTGATGGAGCCCCGGCCAGCTTTCCCATGTTCCTGGCCCAGGCCAAGCTGTATATTCAGGGGCGAGCCCGGAACTTTCCTGACGACCGCACCAAGGTGCACTTTTTGATTAGTTTGTTAAAGGACCAGGCGGCCAAGTGGGCGTTGCCGCTACTCAGGCAAGACTCCCCTTTGCTGGCAGACTATACGGGGTTTTGCAATCGTTTGGAGGCCGCGTTCGGCAACCCCCAGAAAGGGAGTCAAGCCAACCGGGCGATTCGGCGCTTGAAACAGGGCAAGTCCACGGTGGCCGCATATACCACGGAGTTTCGGCTGTTGGCACAGGACTTGACCTGGAATGATTCGGCACTGCGGGACCAGTATCTCGAAGGGCTTTCGGACGAGGTACTGGACCAGTTGGCCACAATGGAACGCCCCACCACGCTAGACACTCTCATTCAACGGAGTCTACAAATAGACGACCGGTTGGAGGATCGTCGTCAGGCCCGGGGTCGCCGACACTTCCAGTTCACGGCACCAGCTTTTTCCGGCAGCCCCACGGTCACAACTGATTTAACGGAGGAGCCTATGCAGCTCGGGGCAGTGCGGCCACGCCTTTCCCCGCAGAGAAGGCGCGGCGTCGGGAGGGAAATCTCTGTCTTTACTGTGGCGGAAGTGGACACTTCGCCGGTCTTGCCCTGAGAAACGCCAGCCGCAGGGAAACCGCCAACCCCAGTAGCTGATGGCCCTAGCTGCCGGGGGTCCCAAACCGCGCAGAATGGGCCTGCATCAATGGACTCGCAACATCTTATGGTTCCGGTACGCTTATACCCTCCAGGTGGGCCCTGGATCCCCACCCATGCTTTGGTGGATTCAGGGGCAACCCGCTCTTATATGGACGCTGCTTTTGCCGCCCATCATCAGGTGCCACGTCGGAACAAGCCAGTACCGGTCCAGGTGGAAGCGATTGACGGACGACTTCTGTGTTCAGGTGCCGTTACTCAGGAGACCCAGCCCCTGGTCCTGTGTTTCCAGCAGCACCGGGAGTTGCGAACTTTGGACATTGCCTCTATGCCCCGCTTCCCCAGGTGCTAGGGAAGGACAGGCAGGAAGCCCACCACCGTAAGATTCACAGGGTCAAACGGACCGTGCACTTCCCAGACCCATGTTCCCATGCTCAACTGGGACGCTGGCGGCCGCGCCTCAGAGGAGGCAGCACCCACGCTCCCAGCCGTGTATCAGGACTACCAGGACGTGTTCGAGGAACGGGGGGCAGACCAGCTGCCGCCGCATCGGCCTTTTGACTGCGGCATAGACCTCCAACCCGGAGCGCCTCTACCAGTGAGTCGCTTATATTCTCTAACAGAGCCAGAGCGCGAGGCTTTGCAGGACTTCTTGTGCAAGAACCTGGAGCGTGGGTTCATTAGGCCGTCCACCTCGCCTACCGCGGCACCAGTGCTTTTCGTTAAGAAGAAATGTGGGGACTCCGCCCTTGCCATGATTACCGAGCCTTGAACAAAATTACCGTCCCAGACCGATACCCCTTGCCCCTTATCTCGGAGCTGCTGGAGCGGGTGCAAGGGGCACAGGTGTTCACCAAGCTGGACCTCCGGGGGGCCTACAACTTGATTCTGATCCGAGCCGGGGATGAGTGGAAGACAGCGTTTGGGACCCGGTACGGGCAGTTCGAATATTTGGTTATGCCTTTCGGGTTGTGCAACGCGCCTGCTGTGTTCCAACGCTACATCAACCACGTGTTTCAGGACTTGTTAGACAAGTACGTGGTGGTGTATTTGGATGACATACTGATTTACTCCCGTGACCCGGCTCGCCATGAGGGACATGTCCGGACCGTGCTGCAGCGCTTGCGTGAGCACCGCTTGTACGCAAAGCTCAGCAAGTGCGAGTTCCATCAGCGGACTGTGGACTTCCTTGGTCACCGGCTCTCTCCGGATGGGGTGCAAATGGACCCGGGAAGGTGACAGCGGTTCAAGAATGGGCGGCACCCCGGAACCGCAAGGACCTACAACGTTTCCTGGGGTTCGCCAATTACTACCGGACCTTCATCGCTGATTATGCTCATCGCACCACCCCGTTGACCCGGCTACTGCGCCCAAAGACGCCGGTTTCCTGGGACAAGGAGGCAGAGGAGGCGTTTCAGGGGTTGAAGGCCTGTTTCCAGAGGGCACCAATCTTACAACATCCTGACCCCTCTCGACCCTTTGTGGTGGAGACCGACGCTCCAGTACGGCTCTCGGTGCCGTCTTGTCTCAACAGATTGGGCCCGAGCGCCACTCTTACCCTGTGCCTTCTATTCCCGCCAGCTCCTACCAGCGGAGCGTAACTATACTGTGTGGGAGCGGGAACTACTGGCCATCAAGGTAGCCTTTGAGGTCTGGCGCCACCATCTTGAGGGGGCACGACATCCGGTGGAGGTAAGAACCGACCACCGGAACCTGGAGTACCTCCAGACCACCCGCAAGCTGAACCAAAGACAGATCCGGTGGGCGTTGTTCTTTTCCCGGTTCCAGTTTCGGATCCGCTACATCCCTAGCTCTCAGAATCTGAAGGCGGATGCCCTGTCCCGGAAACCTGAAGACAACGCAGACACGGTACAGCAAGCAGAACCCGCCACGATCCTCCCTCCGGCCGCATTCCTGGCCACCCAGGAGGCGCAGCCACTGCAGGTTCGGGTGCGGGAACAGCAGCGGGTCGACGCTTGGGCCCAGGAACGACTCCGGGAGCTGGCTGAAGGGTCCAGCCCACAGTATCCGGGGCTGGTCCTGCATCAGGGCCTCCTGCTGCACCACGGTCGTCTGTCCCTCCCGCCAGGGCCACTGCGGCTGGAGGTTCTCCGGATGGCCCATGATGCCCCGGCAGCGGGGCACTTTGGACGGTATCGGACCACCCATCTGGTCAGTCGTGAGTTTTGGTGGCCCCGCCTGAAGGCTGACGTGGCTCGCTACGCTGCTGGCTGTGATGTCTGCCGACGCGCCAAGGGGCCTCACCGGGCGACCCCCGGCCTACTTCCAGCCATTGCCAGTTCCACCGCGCCCTTGGCACACAGTTTCGTTGGACTTTGTAGTGGACTTACCCTCGCCTCGTGGCTGTACCTGCCTTCTGGTTTTCTCCGACCATTTCACCAAGATGGTGCACTGCGCTCCCTGTCCATCTGTACCCACAGCCAAGGAAACTGCTCAGCTGTACCTTCAGCATGTCTTCCGCCTGCATGGTCTACCTGAGCGCGTGGTGTCCGACCGGGCGTTCAGTTCACATCCCGGTTCTGGCGAGCATTACACCAGACCCTCGGGACAGAGGTCTGCCTCTCGTCAGCCTACCACCCACAGACCGATGGCCAGACGGAACGGGCGAACGCGGTGCTGGAGCAGTACCTCCGGTGTTACTGCAGCTACCAGCAGGATGACTGGGTCGACCACCTGGCATTGGCGGAGTTCGCCTATAACAACGCGGTGAATGCGTCCACCCAGCAGACCCCGCTCCAGGCCAGTTATGGTTATCATCCACGGCTGTTTCCAGAGGTGCTGCCGGCATCCGCGGTCCCGGCGGTGACGGAGTGGCTTCAAGAGCTCCAGTCCCAGCAACAGCTTTTGGTGGAGCAACTGCACCAGGCCAAGGAAGCGTACAAGCCCAGGCCGACCGCCACCGCCAGGTGGGGCCGGAACTCGCGGCCGGTGACCTGGTTTGGCTCTCCACTCGCCACCTCCACCCCTCTCGACCTTCGCGGAAGTTGGACGCCCGCTTCACCGGCCCGGTCCCTATCGTAGACCAAATCTCTCCTGTGGCATTCCGTCTCCGGTTACCCGCAACCCTGAAGGTTCACCCGGTCTTCCACAGGTCCCTTTTGAGTCCGGTGGCCCCACCCGACGAGTTCCACCAGAACCGTCCCCGACCGCAGCCAGTGTTGGTTCGGGAGAGCCTGAGTACGAGGTGGAACGCATCCTGGACTCCCGATACCGCAGGGGAAAGCTGCAGTATCTCATTGACTGGAAGGGTACGGACCGGAGGACCGGACCTGGGAACCAGCGGCCAATGTCCATGCACCTGCCTGCCTCCGAGAGTTCCATGCGACGTATCCCGGCAAGCCGGGTCCGGACCCTCGGTTGAGGGGGGGGGCCTGGGAGGGGGATGGTGTGATGGCCTGGGATTCCGATTCGGAGGATGAAACAGAGGAATCCCGGCCTGCACAGGAGTCCCCGCCTCCAGGGCCGGCTGAACTGGGGCAAGGCCTTGATGCTGAAGAGCCTGCACCTGTGGCAGTGCATCAGGAGCTGGCCCCAGGTGAAGCCCTTCGGGCCCCAGAGGGGCTTGATGACTCAGTGGCCACAGGTGAGCCTCCTCCAGGGCCCAGTAACCCTTCGGCCTCTCCTGATCTGCAGAGGCTTAGGGCAGAGAGGCGAAGGGAACTGGTTGCCCCCAGGAGGAGTGCTCGCCTTAAGGCCAGAGGAGGCGGGGCTCCTGGGGACCGGGACCGCCCCTGGCCTTAGAAGAGGATAAAAGCCCAGTCAGCCCGGCCCCAGGTTGCGGGAGCAACGTCGTTGTTGGCTTTGGACCTTCCTGTGTTCCTGATCCCTGCTCGGCTTCCTGTTCCTGACTATCCGGTACTCCTGTTCCCTGCTCGGCCTCCTGTTCCCGACCATCCGGTGTTCCTGTTCCCTGCACAGCCTCCTGTTCCAGCATTCCTGTTCCCCGCCCGGCTCTCTGCCTCGGACCTTGCCCCTCTTCGTGTGGACTCTGCTACACCCAAGGTACCTTACCCCCGGGACCAGCACACTTGATCATGGATGGAGGACTTGACCTGGCATGTGTAACACAGACTTGGTTGGATGAAGCAGATGGGCCTGTCCTTGCAGCTGCTTGTCCACCAGGTTTCTCTTACGCACAGCAACCCAGGTCATGTGGGCAGGGAGGAGGTTTTGCAGTGATTTTTAGGAAGTCATTAGTTTGCACCAGGCGTCCTATTGGGAAGACCCAGTTTTCCGAGTGCATGTTCTGGAAGTTGGGCAATAGGGGCAGTACAGGATTCCTTTTGGTGTACCGACCTCCCCGCTGCACCAAGGATTCCCTGCCCGAGCTGCTTCAGGTCATGGTGGATGTTCTCCTGGAGACACCTAGTTTGGTTGTCCTAGGGGATTTTAACATCCATGCCGACGCGACCTTACAAGGGGCCGCTCGGGACTTCGTGGAAAGCATGGCCTCCATGGGGCTGTCCCTGAATAAGTCTGGCCCAACCCATAGCCGCGGACATGCCTTGGACCTGGTGTTTACCTCTATGGATGTTGGTGATCTGACACTAAGTAAAAGTGAAACGAAAGAAGTGCCATGGTCAGATCACTTCCTGGTGCAACTGGACTTCTCTGCGACCCATCCCCTCTGCAGGGAGGTGGGACCAATTTGGATGGTCCGCCCCGCCACTTAATGGATCCAGATGGTTTCCAGAGAGTGGTAGGGGATGCTTTATCCCATGTTGATGGCCTTTCAGCTGATTCCCTGGTGGCCCACTGGAATGTGGAGTTAACCAGGGCTATTGACTGTTTGGCTCCGAAGCGCCTTCTCCGATTGCATGGAGCCCGGACAGCCCCGTGGTTTTCCACGGATCTGAGGGCAATGAAACAATCGTTGAGACGGCTAGAGCGCCAGTGGCGGATAACTCATTCCGAATCTGACCGGACACAGGTTAGAGCTCAACGTCGAGCCTACCAAGTGGCGATAGCGACGGCGAAGAAGAATTTCTTCACCGCCTCTATTGCATCTGCAGAAAACAGCAGCAGGAGACTTTTTCAGGTGGTTCACAATTTAGTGGAACCACCTGCAACATCGGGGCCCAGTACGGGCCACATGTTCTCCTGCAATGATTTTGCAAAGATTCGGGAAGAAGTAGACTCCACCGTGGGAGCAGGGCCGGGGCGGGAGAGTGCTAGAGTTTTGTCTAGTCAAGTTGAGTGGGATCAATTCCAATCTGTTACCTCCGAGGATGTGGACAGGCTGCTTGGACGAGTGAAACCAATCACCTGTCTCCTGGATCCTTGCCCATCCTGGCTTATAAAAGCTAGCCGGGAAGGACTGGGCGATGGGCTTCGTGGGGTGGTGAATGCTTCCCTCTGTGAGGGAGCCTTCCCAGACCCGCTGAAAGAGGCAGTTATTAAACAGCTTCTTAAAAAACCATCTTTAGATGCGGCCACGATGGCCAACTATCGCCCAGTCTCAAATCTTCCATTCTTGGGCAAGGTGATTGAGCGAGTGGTTGCTGAACAACTCCAGGCACGCCTGGAAGAAGCGGACCATTTGGATCCCTTCCAGTCGGGATTCAGGCCTCATCATGGGACTGAAACTGCCTTGGTCGCACTGGTTGATGATCTCCGGCGGGCTAGGGACAAAGGTGAGAGCTGTTTCCTAGTTCTGCTGGATCTCTCAGCGGCGTTTGATACCATCGACCATAACATCCTTCTGGACCGTCTTGAGGGGCTGGGAGCTGGGGGCACTGTCATACAGTGGTTCCGCTCCTTCCCCCTGGTTCGTGTTCAGAAAGTGGTGGTGGGGGATGAGTGTTCAGACCCCTGGGCTCTCACTTGTGGGGTGCCTCAGGGTTCTGTCCTCTCCCCCATGTGTTTCAACATTTACATGCAGCTGCTGGGAGAGATCATCAGGAGGTTTGGGCTGGGTGTTCATCAGTATGTGGATGATACCCAGCTGTACCTCTCTTTCAAATCAGAACCAGTGAAGGCAGTGAAGGTCCTGTGTGAGTGTCTGGAGGCGGTTGGAGGATGGATGGCGGCTAACAGATTGAGGTTGAATCCTGACAAGACAGAAGTACTGTTTTGGGGGGACAGGAGGTGGGCAGGTGTGGAGGATTCCCTGGTCCTGAATGGGGTAACTGTGCCCCTGAAGGACCAGGTGCGCAGCCTGGGAGTCATTTTGGACTCACAACTGTCCATGGAGGCACAGGTTAAATCTGTGTCCAGGGCAGCTGTTTACCAGCTCCATCTGGTACGTAGGCTGAGACCCTATCTGCCTGCGGACTGTCTTGCCAGAGTGGTACATGCTCCGGTTATCTCCTGCTTGGACTACTGCAATGCACTCTACGTGGGGCTACCTTTGAAGGTGACTCGGAAACTACAACTAATCCAGAATGCAGCAGCTAGACTGGTGACTGGGGGCGGCCGCCGAGACAATATAACACTGGTCTTGAAAGACCTACATTGGCTCCCAGTACGTTTCCGAGCACAATTCAAAGTGTTGGTGCTGACCTTTAAAGCCCTAAATGGCCTCAGTCCAGTATACCTGAAGGAGCGTCTCCACCCCCATCGTTCTGCCCGGACGCTGAGGTCCAGCACCGAGGGCCTTCTGGCGGTTCCCTCATTGCGAGAAGCAAAGCTACAGGGAACCAGGCAGAGGGCCTTCTCGGTAGTGTCACCCGCCCTGTGGAATGCCCTTCCAGCAGATGTCAAAGCGATAAACAACTACCTGACATTCAGAAGACATCTTAAGGCAGCCCTGTTCAGGGAAGTTTTTAACGTGTGATATTTTACTGTATTTTTGGTTTCTATGGAAGCCGCCCAGTGTGGCTGGGGAGGCCCAGCCAGATGGGCAGGGTATAAATAATAAATTATTATTATTATTATATTAATATCCCTTCCCTGCAGGGAGCTCTCGTCTTCTGAACTGCTCCTCTGTGCCCTTGCCGGCTGCTGTTCCTACTGAGAGGCAAATGAAAAAGAGAGTTTGCCCCCTTTACTTACCTTCCCGGCCCGTTTCTTTCTGAACAGTCCAATCCAGATGGGGCCTTTGATGTCATATGCCGCTGTTATCGCAGAGGCTATACGTCTGTGCTCTTCCTCACTAAGGATGGAGGCCAGGTGGCTTTTTTGCCCAAACGTTTGGCAGTCCGCCTGGGAGAGAAAAAGAATAAGGGGTTTTGCCCTGGAGGTGAGGGCAGAGAACCCTGGGAAATGTAGTTTGTTAAGAGTGCTGATGTCACGGAGCTCCAATTCCCAGCATCCTTATCAAACCACAGTTCCCAGGATTATCTAGAATTGTCAATATGAAGGAGTGTTTTTAATGTGGTGCGGATGTGAGCCTTATCTTCCGATTCAGAAGGAAAATAATCAACTGGTTTCTACTCTTCATTGAGAAACCAGTTTTATATATTCCTTTTGTTATGTTGGGTGTAGTGAAGGGTTAACCCTCTGTGTCCCGAGACTGAGAGGAGGTGCTTACAAGGGAAGTAAGCCAGGACGTGACGAAAGCAGCTTGGAATGCTGTGTACTGAGTGAAAATTGAAAGCAGTTTGTTGCATCGCTGCAAGCAGAGGGAGAAGATGCAGCTTGAATCAGATGGAAGTTGGAGTTTGTAAATACGCTACTTTTGTGCCAATAAAGAGATATTAGGACAGAAGAAACGTTTGGGACTCTTTTACTGCTCTTTCAACACACGCCGCTGTGTAACTCTGCTAATTGCTTCACGATCTACAGAGGCTCCCAGGGGAAGTGTCGCTGGAGGCCGAACAATAAAGCAATAAATCTTTCGAACAGGTTATGGACTGTCAACGCGAAGCATGTAAGAAAGGGCTTTGAAGCTTTATTTGCTGAACGTCAGTTTGATTGACTGCCAAGACTTCAAAGGGCAGATCGGAGGAGGCTGACGGAGAGGGAGCTGAGAGCCACGTTGTCCGGAGTGCCCGGTTTGGCTGCAGAGTGAGTATTATCAGCTGCTCTTGCAAAAGGCCAACAGAAGGGAAGGGAGGCAATGGCTCAGCCCCATGGACATGGCGTTGAGTTTAAACTACCATGTCAGAAACTGGATAGCCAAAATTGGCTGCAGTGGAGCTTTCAAGTGGAGCTGTTGCTGGTGGGGGAGCAGCTTTGGGACGTAGTACAGCCCCCACAGAATGCAGCTGGGAAAGCAGAAGCTGAAAGGGCTGCGGAGCAAAGTGAAGTTGAGAAGCGTGTGCTTGCTTTTTTGGCAGAGAATGTGGATGCTCATCTGGTGCCAGTAGTCCTGGGTGCAAGAAGGCCAGAGGCCGCTTGGCTAGCACTCCGAGAGGCTTGTGGAGCTGGGGTGGGAAGCAAGGGCCGAGACGTGGCTGCCCCAAGGAAAGAGAGGCAAGATGGCGCCGGCCACATTCTTGAGAGCCGATACACAGCTGGGAGGAGCTGGGAGCCCCCACAGGGGGGGCGAAGGGACTGTTGCTGTTGCTGGCAATGCTGCTGGTGTTTTTGCTGAGCCTAGGAGCTGTATGGATGCTGCAACGTGTCTGTGTGAGAAGCCAGGAGAGAGGCCAAGTGTTGAGAGCCCTTTACCCACCAGAAGGGGTGCAGGAAAATGTCCTGGGAGCCCCGTGAGTAGTGGGGGGGCAGTGAGCAGTGAAAGCTCAGAGACGCCTCTTTCTCCAAAAGCTGCCAAGAGTTGTTTACGCCAAGAGCTGAAGCCTAGCCGTGCTGGAGGCTTCAAGGCCGGCCACCTGCAGCAAGTAGAGATAAGAGCTGTGGAGTTGTGTGGGAACACTGAGACAAGTCCGGTCTCCAAGTCAACTGAGAGAGTTGCATCTACGGAAGCTGTGAAGGTCGTGGGCAAGTCTCCCTGCCGGGGGGAGTCTGTTACCATGACAACCAGAGAGAACATCTGCAGAAGCCCCAAGGAGGGGGGTAGCGAGGAGATTGTTGCCCTGGCGACCCAGGAATGTCAACAGACAGACTTTCTTACTGTCATCATCGACTCTGGTGCGACAAATACGCTAGTGCCATCTAGTGGTCCTTTAAGAAATTGCAGGACAGTAAAAACTGATAAATTTGTAACGATCACGGATGGAAGCAGAAAAAGACTAACAGAGACAGGCTTTTTCTTCTGTCCCTTTCTTAAGCATGAAGTCAAAGCTTTTGCGGCACCCGGTTTAACTAACTGTTTATTAAGTGTGCATGATCTACTTGCTGATGGTTTTCATGTGTCTTTTGCAGGTACCAAATGTGAATTTTCCAAGGATGGGAAACACGTGTACACAGTACAGTCTAAAGGCAATTTGTTTGCTGTAAATGTGCCTTTTTCTACAGGAGAGGATGACACCGAAGATGCGAAGGGGCAATGTGTGAATGTGGCGCCCCACCATGGTTGTTCGCATATTTGGCACAGACGCTTCACCCATTTGAATTGGGGATATCTTCAGAAAGCAACAGAGCTGACACAAGGGTGCAAATTTAATGTTTGTGACAAATTTTTAGATTGCAATGCATGTAAACAGGCGAAAATTGTGACATGCTCCTATCCAAAGTCAGAGAGGCAGACCACACAACCCTTTGAGTTAATTCATGCAGAATTGTGTGGACCCATGTCAGTTGAGTCACTGGGAGGATCAAAGTATTCTCTGCTTCTGGTTGATGATTTTTCGAGGTCTGCTTGGACCTTCCCTCTGAAAAAGAAAGGGGAGGCGGCTAAAATGATCAGGGATTGGATCACCGCAGTTGAGGTAACCTTTTCCACCAAAGTTTGTGGCTTTCAAAGTGACAGAGGTTCTGAATTCACTGGTTCTGCTTTACAGGATTTCTTTAGGGAGAAGGGGATTAGCCACAGATTGACCGCTCCTTACTCTCCGCAACAGAATGGAGTCGCAGAGAGAAAGAACAGGACGGTGGAGGAAGCTGTGTCTGCGATCCTGTGGGACGCAGGGCTACCTCAGAAATATTGGTCTGAAGCCTGGAGATTTGTGGTTCATACGCAGAATAGAGTGCACAACTCAAGTGTAGGAAATACGCCATATTTCTTACTGCATGGAAAGAAGCCTAAGGTACACTACCTTCGTGTGTTTGGTTGTGAGGCTTGGGTGCTTATTCCAAAGGCTCTACACAAGAAAGGTGAGCCAAGATCTAAAAGAATGATCTTTGTAGGGTATGAGCCTGGCTCAAAGGCCTGGCGGTTTGCGTACCCAAGTGGAAACCAGTCTAGGTTGGTTATCAGCAATAGCGCTGAATTCTGTGAGCAAGCCGGGTGGAGACGTCTGCATGCTAATCCAGACGTGATTCCACAGCCGTTCTATGACTCAGACATTGAGGAGGAAGAGGAACTTGTTGCTGGGGACCACGGTCCAGAGCAACAGGATCCACCACAGGGACAGAGTCCAAGGCAGGGACAGCTCAGGATCCCTCAGAGGGGAGAACCTAGATCACCTCCTCAGGCAAGTGTCAAGTTTGAGCCAAAGAGTGAGCCTTCTTCACCTGCTGGACCAGCTGTAAGGCCCAAGAGGTGCAGCAGGTCAGAGGGGGAAGACACTGAAGTTGAGGATGATTTAGCTGGACCCAGTGAAGCAGCAGGGTCACCAAGATTCACACTGAGGAGATCAGCAAGGACAAGGAGGCCTCCTGATCGGTACGACGCTTCAGGCGTCTGGGTAGGCTCAGCCAGATGTGAACCTGAATCCTTCGAGGATATTCAGAGTTTACCTGAGGAAGAAGCCGGTAAGTGGCACAGGGCAATGGACAAAGAGATGAAGTCCATGAAAGATCTAGGTGTGTTCTCACTCACAGAGTTGCCACCGGGCATGCAGGCTGTGAGTTGCAGGTGGGTTTACCGCTTGAAACCCATTAACACTGGAGAGCCACAGTATAAAGCTAGGTTAGTTGCTCGAGGATTCCCTCAGAGAAAGGGAATACACTTCACGGAGGTGTATTCACCAACGTCACGAGTGGAGACTCTGAGAACGCTTTTAGCTTGTGCAGCACAGAGAGGCTGGAAGGTAAACCACTTTGATGTGGATGTTGCCTACCTTAACTCAGATCTCCAGGAGGAGCTGTACATGATTCCTCCTCCAGGGTTTGAGAACTTGAGACAGGGTGTTGTGTGGAGATTGCACAAATCCATCTGTGGATTATGTCAATCTGCTAGAAACTGGAACATGTGCCTGAATGAAGCCTTAGAAGAACTAGGTTTCAGAAGAAGCATTGCTGATAGTTGCTTTTATTTGAGAGGATCAGGGGCAACACAAGAGTATTTGCAGATTTGGGTTGATGATTTGTTGTTCTTCTCAGAGACAGATGAACAGGCAGAGAAGTTTGGCAAAGAGCTAGGTAAACGGTTCAAGCTTAAGCAGCTTGGTGCTGTCAAAACCTACGTAGGTGTCAATGTTGAGCGTGCACAGGATGGAAGCTTCTTGCTCAGCCAGAGAGGTAAAATTGAGCAACTGCTTCAGAAATTCAGGATGAGTGATTGTGCAGGAGTGAGAAGTCCTATGGAGACTAGTTTTGTGAAGGACAGCCAGCAAGTAGAACGCGCTGCGTTCGAAAATACTGAAGTGTTTCAGTCAGCCCTAGGGAGTTTGTTGTATTTGTCCCAGTGGAGCAGACCTGATATAGCGTTTGCTGTCAATCTGCTCAGCAGGGAAGCTTCAAACCCTAGTGTGCAAGCCTGGAATGGCATCAAGAGAGTTCTGAGGTATTTGCAGGAAAACAAAGACTTTTGTCTTAGGTTACCAGCACAAGGAGAAGTCAAAGTGACTTGTTTTGTGGACCCGGATTGGGCTAATCTTGAGGATCGCAAGTCTGTGTCTGGCCTAGTGGTGAAGTTTGGGAACTCAGTAGTTGGATGGAGGTCCAAGAAGCAAAGTCTTATAGCGCTCTCATCCACTGAGGCTGAGTTTAGTGCTCTTTCAGAGGTATGCAGAGAAGTAGAGTTCTATGCTTGCTTAGTGCAGGAACTCTGTGAAGTGGATTGTCAACTGATACGTGTTTTCAAGGACAATCAACCATGCCTGCGTTTGGCAGAGTCAGGTCAGTTCAAGGCCAGAACTAAACACCTAGACATTCGTTTTCGGAATGTGTGTCAGAGTGTTCAGGAGGGATTAGTTGCGCTGACGTATTGTCCCTCTGCCAAGAACCTAGCTGATGGGTTCATGAAGCCACTCTCCTTCCAAAGACATGGGGAGTTTTGCGAAGGTCTGGATTTGGGACGACCAAGGGTCGATTCTCCCCTCAGGCGCTAGACAAGAGGGGGTGTTGGGTGTAGTGAAGGGTTAACCTTCTGTGTCCTGAGACTGAGAGGAGGCGCTTACAAGGGAAGTAAGCCAGGACGTGACGAAAGCAGCTTGGAATGCTGTGTACTGCCACCCTGTGGTGGTTGTGCGAGCCTATTAGAAAATTTTGGGAATCTATTTACAGTGAACTAAAAAAAATCTTTAAATATACCTTTATAAAAAGACCCGAAGCCTTTTTGCTGGGGATAATTGGAGAGGAAATCAAGAAGGAAGATCAAACACTCTTTCAGTACGCGACAGTGGCCGCTAGAACTCTAATAGTGCAGAATTGGAAGACATCAAGAATCCCAACCATAAATGAATGGCAATCGAAACTACTCGACTATCTAGAATTGGCAAAAATGACACAGAAAATAAGAAATCAAAAAGACACAAAGTTTAATAAAGATTGGAATAAATTCATGGCATACATGGAAGCAGAGGTAAAAAAAACTAAAAAACACAGTAGGTGTGATATAACACTTGTGATGTAAAGATTTTTTTTTTTTTTGAGGAAAAGAAACTGCAGATAGAAAAAATTTATAACACATTCCGAAACCGAGATGAAGGGAAGTCAGTCAGTGTTGTGTGCTATGTAGTTAATGTAGTTAATTTGTTGTTGTCTTATGTCAGGAGTATATATATATATATATATATATATATATATATATATATATATATATATATATATATCTATATATATATATATATATATATCTATTCTTTATTTAGTTTTTTTGGTGTGAATGTGTTGTGTTTGTCTTCTTTGTTTGTATGGTGTTATAAAATAAATAAATAAATAAATAAATAAATAATAAAAAAAGGAATGCTGTGTACTGAGTGAAAATTGAAAGCAGTTTGTTGCGTCGCTGCAAGCAGAGGGAGAAGATGCAGCTTGAATCAGATGGAAGTTGGAGTTTGTAAATACGCTACTTTTGTGCCAATAAAGAGATATTAGGACAGAAGAAACGTTTGGGACTCTTTTACTGCTCTTTCGACACACGCCGCTGTGTAACTCTGCTAATTGCTTTACGATCTACAGAGGCTCCCAGGGGAAGCATGGCTGGGCGCCGAACAATAAAGCAATAAATCTACCGAACATGTTATGTACTGAGTTGAATAGGATTCAGAATGCAGCAGTCTGATTGGTTCTAGAACAATAGGGTTCAGAATGCAGCAGTCTGATTGGTCCTAGAAAAATAGGAACCCAATTGCAGCAGTCTGATTGGTCCTAGAACAATAGGATTCAGAATGCAGCAGTCTGACTGGTTCTAGAACAATAGGATCTAGAATGCAGCAATCTGATTGGTCCACAGGAGCCACCCAATCCAGCTCCAGGTGGAAGTGAATCCGCAACCTGATTGCCCTACAGGAGAATCCCAGAATTAGCCAATCATGTGGGGCCCAGTGTGTAAATAATGTATATAAAGCAGACATTTCGGGGGAACTCCCATTCCTCACTACTATGAGCCGAATAAAGAGCATGAAATCCACACTCGACTCTGAGTATCTTTCACCTTTATAGCAGCAGCAGCATCTTCCTTTCATTTTTTTTCCTAACCTGCCATGTGACATATGCAGGGATAACTTTGTATTCCAAGACTATGCTTCATTTGCTGTGAGTTGCTTGCCAGGGAGGAGAGGAAGGGTGGGTGGGAAACATGGTGTCTGGAGGAATTTGCTACACAGGGCTTCCAAGAATCTCTCCTTACCTCCGCATCATTCCAATTCCGTGCAGTTTGCCTATATGAATAGCAATGCCTCTGAAAGTTGATCCAGTTCTGGGGGCAGCTATATGCTTCCGTGCCTGTCGGAGGAGAGGGAACACAATGTCAAGGTTGTGGAGGAGGTGGCTGGGTCAGAATCCGAACTATTTGCAGGAAGTGTAGAGGGGCCTCACCCAGGACCTAGGGGTGAGACCTGAAAGGCTGTGTGGCCGGCACAATCTCAAGGATGCTGAGGACCTGTGGGAATGGGGATCTAATATCTGCTGTGATTGAGAAGCAAGGATTTGAGCAAAATGGCACTTAGGGAAGAAGATGCAGGAGAGAGGTTGATACAACACCCACGGGAGGTAAGCTGGGTGAGGGGGAAGATAAAAGAGCTTTTCCCATATTGTCCAGAAATGAAAATAAAGAGGGCATAGAATTTCTCTCTATTCCCAACCCCTCTGAAATTCAGTTAAGGATCTCTCCAAACAAATGGACAATAGGTTAAAGATAAGTTTGGTTCCTCCTTTGATGAACTAAGAACAAATTTTTCAATTTAAGTCCTATGAGCTTAGGACAATAAAGCTTACATCAGTATGTTACATTGGTCACAAAAAATATAATGCCCCTGTTTCGTCCTCTGATTGATGTTTCAAATCTATATTACTAGGATTTGCTGCATGAGCCATGCCTTTTCTCCTAAGGATTGCTATCTGCTTGGCTTCTCCCAGTCCAGGTTTGTGGAGCCCAGTTGGGATGTACCTTGCAGAAAGGAGCAGGCAATCAGGAAGCCCCAAATGGAGAGGTGGAAGAAAGTGATGCGTCCCATTGGCATCTGAGGAGAGAGAAGAAAAGAAGAAGAGACTCCTGAGATCTGTGAAATGGGATTGCGCATTTTATAGAATCCTCTGTTGATAGAAAGGTTACGGGTGGCAGGCCAAAAGAAGAAAACACCTAATGGAGTTAATGGACAACAGGTCTTTAGCAGACAAAAGGCAGTCCTTGTTCACACAACTCGTCATGAAAACCCTCTACTTCAAGATATAAGGAAGGCTACTGGCACTGTGGGTTAAACCACAGAGCCTAGGACTTGCTGATCAGAAGGTTGGCGGTTCGAATCCCCGCAACGTGGTGAGCTCCCGTTGCTCGGTCCCTGCTCATGCCAACCTAGCAGTTCAAAAGCAAGTCAAAGTGCAAGTAGATAAATAGGTGGGAAGGAAACTGCGTTTCTGTGCGCTGCTCTGGTTCGCCAGAAGCGGCTTAGTCATGCTGGCCACATGACCTGCAAGCTGTACGCCGGCTCCCTCAGCCAATAAAGCGAGATGAGCACTGCAACCCCGGAGTCGGCCATGACAGGACCTAATGGTCAGGGGTCCCTTTACCTTTACGTACTAACTGAGGAGCAGCTCCCCAGCTGTGAGAGATGGGATGGCAGCTGTTGGGAAGACCACCTGCTTATTATTAAGGCATGGAGAAAGTGGACAGGGACAGGTTTTTCTCATCACATTGGAACTCGTGGGCATTAAATGGATCTGAATGTTGGAAGAGTCAGGACAGGGAAAAGAAAGAACTTTCTCATGCAGTTCATCATTAAACTATGGAATTCGCTCCTCCAATAGGATTAGACAAATTCACAGAGGCCAAGGCTTTTGATGGCTATTTACTCTGATGTTCTACCTCCCCTGTCTAACGCCACAGTATGGCATTGAATACCGGTTGCCAGAAACAGCAGGAGGGAATGTGCTGAATAAATTCAGTTTAGGATTTTATTTTATTTTCAATTTTTTTTATTAATTTTCCAAAAATTTAAAACAAACAAACAAATACACACACATCCTATTTATAATTAAACCAATCTTTGTAACATTATTAAGTGACTTCCTCAGATCCCCTTGGCTGAATTTCATTATATATCATTTTAACAGATTTCCAAAATCAATTTTCTCAAAAAATTAACTTGATCACTTAACATCTTCCACTCTTTCTAAATTAGCTTTAAACATCTTGAATCCTATCCTTACATATTTAAATCCTAAGCCTATCTAATACTTGCAAGATTTCCAATTAAGTTAACTTAACATATTTAGCTAAATAGTCTTTAAATTTCATCCATTCTCCGTTTAGAATTTATTGCACTCCACTATGCTTGCTTAGAAAGGGACTGTCTACAACAACACACTGTTGGAGGATGTATGTTTGAAAGAAAATGCTTCTTTCAAACATATGTTTACATCATGGGCAACACTCACACATTTTTGGAGAAAAAAACTAAGATGTATAAATACTACTTGGGGGGAGGGAAATAACATTATCAGATGATGATATTATTTTAAACTATATGCCAACTATATGGGGTTTGACAAAGGGTCACCGCAAATGGATTCTACATGCCCTTATTTCTGCTAAAAGGCTGATTTTAATTCCTTGAAAAGATAATACCATGCCCCCTTTGATTAATGGATAGAAGATATGTCAGTTCTAGCAACATATGAATGGATTGCTTTTAGCTGCAGATTTTGTATGGATAAATAAAACCATATGTGAAATCTATTAATAAAGCATATAATGTCTTGATAATAATTTTACATTTATTGGATTAATTGTATTCCTTATATACATATATACTCTATTGTATTGTTTCCAGAATATGGGTTGGTGCCTCCGGTAATGGCGGAATTCCTCTGATCGGGAGGAATTTGCCCCGTGGGAATTTGGGTCTGGCCGCCACGGTGAAGGCAGAGACCCGTAAAAAATCACAGGAGGGAGAAGCCTGTGAGCGTGGGATTCGGCGGGCAGCCTTTGCGCCTCCCCTACTCCCGGGGAACCTGGTTTCGGGGGTCTGGAGCGACGTGGGGTGAGCGGCACGGTGCTTCGAATCGTCTGTTTCTTCCACGGAGCGAAGCTGCATAGCTGTTGTCGGAGAGCGCTGACTTTTTCCTGTGGACAATTTGACTTCAAAGTAATTACTCGTGAGTTGAGCTGAAGCGGGAGAATTGGATTTTTAAACGTTTAATTTGGTACTGTAACGGGGAGGCTTAATACAGGAAGTCCGCCTTCCCCCTTTTGTAAATAGACTGAAGCAATGAGGCTGCAAGCCTCATTGGAAAGCCTTTTGTAAAAGACTAAATTTCCATCGGTAAAGAACATTAACCCCCCCCCCGGAGGCAGGAGAAGGGGGGGGGGAGTTGTGGACTGAGTATGCCTGCAGGAGAGAGCGAAGAGAGCTAAAATACCACCGCTCTGACCCTGGAAACGGGCTGCTAGCAGGACTGACGTCTTTTAGAATGTTCATTGACAACGTTCAGAACGTTCATTGACAGCTAGCTAAACAAGAGAAATACATTGTTTGTACTGTCTCCGGCTGCTTTTAAAAAGGAGTAAAGTAACTGAAAATTGAAACTAACTTTGGATTGTTTGAACTGTGTTTAAAAGAGGACATTATTGATTAATACAAAATGACATAAATAGAAACTCTTTCCCCCTAGTGGAAGCCTTTGAAACTGGTTGCTTTACAAGAGTTGGGCTAGGGGAATTTCCAGCTGCAAGATAAAAAACTGTGAGACTCTGGGACTGACCTTGCATCTTTTAAGTGTTATGGCAAATGGAAAGGAAAAAACAGATCAGCCAACTGCTGAAAAAACATTAAGGTCTGGGAGGACTTGGCAGCAACCCAGGAGAGGCTCAACACCAGGCCTCCCTGCTTCCTCTGCTGCTGCTTCTGCATCAGTACAATCAAAACCAAGAGGAATGTCGACAGAAGAGGTTTTAGCGGCTGCATTAGGTAAGATAAACGATTCATTGGAACAGCTTAATAAGAAAGTGGATGTTGCAATGGAAGGGATAAACAATCTGGGACAAAAGGTGAATACCAATACAGAAACTATCCAGAAATTGATACAGGAATCTACTCTGATACGGCAGACTGCGGAGGAAGCCAGGGAGAAAGCCGTTGCTGCTGAATGTAAAGTAACACAACTGGAGAGAGAGAGAGTCCCAGCCCTACAGAGGCAACTTGATGAAGCTGACGCTTGCTATGATTGAACTTAAAGAAAAACAGACGAATCTGAGGATTAGAGCCCTACCTGAATTGGAGAAGGAAAGCTTGATAGACTTTCTCACACAGGAATTTGCTGACTTTTGGGACTTGGACTTGGGCCAAGAAGAGTTTAGAATTGTGAGGGCCTTCAGATTTGGAAGAGGAGGGAAAAAAGAGAAGAATAGAATAAGAGACTGCTTGATCACCCTTCGAACTAAAGAAGAGAGAGATAGAATCTTGGGTTGGCACTACCAGAAGAACCTAGAAGTACAACAGTCAAGAGTGGAAATTTTTAAAGACGTCCCGAAATATCTTTTGGATCTTAGGCCCAACTACGGAGATATTGTTGCCCTGCTGAGAAGGAATAAAATCATCTTTAGGTGGGAATTTCCCCAAGGTCTATCTTTCAGTTTCAAAGGAAGGAAAATAAAAATAAGATCAGTAGAAGATAGAGCGAAGTTTTTGTACAAATACGAAGAAGATCTGCAGAAGGGACTTGGAAAAGAGCCAAGAGCATCGGATAGAAGATCACCAGATAGAGGACTAGAGCAGAGAGCATCGGATAGAAGATCACCAAACAGGGGAATATTGGATATATCAGCATTATCCTTTGGATTGGATCTCCCAGTAAACGTGTCACCATTACTACCAACAGAAGAAGAGCAAGCATTGGGTGCAGTTGGAGGAACATCAGCGTAATTACATGATGGCGTTGCAGGTTTCGAGCTGGAATGTGAATGGATTAAATTCCCCAGAAAAAAGGCGGAGAGTCTTTCATTTATTGAAAAAAGAACATTTGGACTTGATTTGTTTACAAGAAACATGTGATAACGCTACACAGGAAGATATTGAGTAATAAAAGATTGGGCCAAGAATTTATCTCATCAGATAAAGTAAAAAAAAGAGGAGTGGTCCTTTATGCAAAGGAGAGCCTATCACCGAAATTCATATTCAAAGATGACCAAGGAAGATTTGTTGCAATTGAAATTCAATCACAAGGAGAGAAATTCTTGATTGTAGGTATTTATGCACCAAATGAAGGAAAATCGGAATTCTTTAAGAAGCTACATGAGACTCTGATGGATTACATGGACTATAATATGATCTTGATGGGAGATATGAATGGAGTGGTGTCTACAAATATGGACAAGGCACAGAGACAGGTAGTCACCAAAGATGGTAGACTACCAAAAACCTTTTTTGACATGACTGAAAATATGGACTTAGTTGACATTTGGAGAATGAAGAACCCACTGGGAAGAGAGGGAACTTTCTTCTCTGAGGCTAAAATGACATGGACAAGAATTGACCAAATCTGGGTAACCAGGGGATTGGCTCCGAAGATCAGCAAAGTGGAGATTTGCCCCAAAACTTGTTCTGACCATAATGCGGTGAAGATGGAAATGAAATTGACACCAATTGGTTCCTTTAGATGGAGGATGACCGATACTTTGTTCAGGAATGAAGAGGTGACCAAGAAGGCCCAAAAAACTCTAAGAGACTATTTCGAGATAAACATGAATACTACAGTGGAAAAAAGAGTAATTTGGGACGCAAGCAAAGCGGTTATGAGAGGATTCCTAATACAACAGAATGCAATTAAGAAGAGAACTCAGAATGAAAAAAAGGATAAAATCCTGGGGAAGATAAAGGAAGGAGAGAAGAAACTGAGAACAAAACCAAAGTCACAGGAGATTCTGAAAGAGATACAGTTATATCAAGTACAATATACGAAGCTGATGAATCAGGAAATAGAATGGAAGATTAAACAGATGAGGCAAAAGACATTTGAATCGGCA